ATCGCCTCCCTCACAGGCTTATCCACCGCGGGCTCGTCATCTCTCTTCGGCCCTAGGTCGGCATCGGTGGCAGCAGGGGTGAAAGCGGTCGTGGTCACATCAAACCCCTTCGGCATACTCTCAATGTATGCTGCCTGGGACAGCTTGGTGATGCCATTTTCTACATTCATGGCGATAGCACACCCGTCGTACCAGGTACACTCCCCCAGATCTTTTACCGGAAACTTCTAGTTGAGGAAAGCGAACAACTCCTCTCGCTCTCCCTCGTCTGCCGCCACTAAGATGTCATCAACGTAGATCACGATGAGACCTACGACCTCTCCATCCACCACCTTCCGGAAGACACACGGGTCAACCCTGCACTGCTCGTATCCATTCTCGATGAGAGCATCGGCAGCTTCAAACCCCCACTCACGGTCACTCTGCTTTAGGCCATACAGGGCACGCTCAACCTTTACCACCTTGCCGGACATGCTACCACAGCCTTCCGGGAACCTCAGGTATATTTCTTCTTCTAGCTTAGCGTGGATGTTGCTTCACATCCCAGTGAGCGAGTTTCTTGCCCTTTTCAGTGGCTACGGCAATCACCGTCTTGATAGACGCTGCAGACGGGCACGCTGAGGATGAGTGGTGGAAGTCGATGCCGGGGATTTGAGAGAAACCCCGCGCAACCATACGGGCCTTGAAGTCGACTATCAGGCCCTTCTCATTCGTCGTCCAAGAGAACACCCACTTTGAACCTATGGCCTTCCGCCCCTCGGGCAGCTCTTTGACCTTGGTAAAGGTTCCAGTCTTGTCGTGGCCACCTATCTCTTTCTTCATGGCCGCCTCCCAGAAAACCTTGTACGTGGAACACATCACATCCTTGTACGTCATCGGTACTGCTTCCACATCACTCGGCTTCTGCCCGATTGGCGAGGCCATACTTAGCTGTGGGTCTGGGAGTGGTTGCGAAGACCCGCTGCATCGACCTCGGCCCCGAACGCCTGCTGTTCCGGGCCCAACACCTCCTGCATCTCGCGCCTGTACATCTCCTCCATACGGCGTGTCTGCTCCTCGTCCCACTGCTCCTTCACAAGCGAGTTGCAGATGTAGTCCTCAACAATCCCCGTCCCGCCAGTTTCCAGGATGGTCGCCAGCAATGCCTCTTCCGGGTCCGGTGTTTCTCCGGGCCCCGGCATCTCCCCGGCACCTTGCATCTCCCGGGTCTGCTTCCGTGTGCGGCCACTCTCAAGCCCATGGCGCAGCGGGCCAGCGTTCGAGGCGCCCCAGAGGAGTTTCTTCCCTTCTAGCCCGCGGGGTAGCGGTCGTCGGCTGGATCATACTTCAACTCCTCGAGGTTTTCGGAGTCGCCGGGATCACCATCGCTACCGCCGTCCCCACCTGGGTCGCCGGACATTTCGCCGCCCGGGCCGCCGGCACCGCCGGCGTCACTGCTGCCGCTGCTGCTGCTGCTGCTGCTGCTGCTGCTGTCGGTGGGGCTGTCACTGCCTCCGCCGAAGTCGCCCCTTCCCGAAGGGGGCGACGGGAGAACGCTGCCTCCGTCCCCCGGAATCCCGTTGCCGGGTGCCGTCGGCGCCTCCTCGCGCACAAACGGCGTCGCTTGCCCTGCCCCACGAGCCTCCATCACGTCGAGGTCGGACTCACTCTCCGAGTCTCTCTCCGCCCCCCAACCTTGGCGTGATTCATCCGCTCTGCTCTCGCCCTCCCCGCCCTCTCGTCATCTGCGAGAGGTAGCAGCTGCGGGGGAGCGGGCGATGCAGCGGGCACGTGGCGCCAGGTGAAATTGCGGGTGGTGATTACGGTTCCAGCTTCGGTTAGCATGCGAACGCAGTCACGGGGGTGATTGTGGGCAGGACCAAGGTAACATCCTTTGTCGCCCTTGGGTTGCGACTTTGCTTTTCTTCTCGACTTGAGCACGGCTGGTTTGAGAAACGAGTATGTAGACCCGACAGGCGGTGGGGAGTCGTGGAACATCTCGTAGGCGGATTTGTCTCCCTTGTTTGATTTAGTGGCGGTGCAGTTCAGCTGATGGCATGCACACGAAATGGCCTCGGCCCACAACCCGGGGTGGTTCGGTGCGTCGGGGAACAATTGCGTCGCTTGGATGCGTGACGCACGCGCGGCATCAGTGATCAACCCTAGCGCTCTCTCCACTACACCGTTGTATTTTGGGGTGTGAGAGGGGGTGAACTCTTGTTTGATGCCGTGTTTGCGGCAAACTTCCGCAAACTGCCCCTGGAACTCGCCGCCACCGTCGGTACGTGCGATATTAACCTCACACGGAACCCCTTTCGTTCGGTAGTCCGCCAGGAACTTCTCAAACCCAACCGCTGCGTCAGACTTGTGCTTCAAGAAGAAAACACGCGTCAAACGGGAGGAATCGTCTCTGATGATCAGTGTGTACCAGTTGCCGCCAATGCTCCTGGTTTTCATCTTTCCCCCCAAGTCGAGATACACGCGAAAGAACTTCTTAACTGCGCGTGTGCTCGTGCTCTTCTGGACGGGTTTCGCCTGTCCCTTGGACATCGAACAGCCAAGACAGGGTAGCAGCGGTCCATCCGTCAGCTGCACTCCCTGCTGCTCCGTCGTGATCCTGGGCAATGTCTCGTGGGCATGGCCGTGCGCAAGGTGGTACTCGTTGAAGTCAGTGGGATTGGCTGCTTTCGCATCGCCAGGAACAATGAGTGGGGCACAGGCGGTGTGTAGCGTTGGCTTTATTTGATAGCCTTGTTGGGTCAGCAGCTTCCCAGTCCGGGGGAACCACACCTCCCATCCGGCTTTCGTGGTCAGCGTGAGGCCCCCTTTCGTCCCCGAATACGTGTGGCCCTCTTCCGCCAACGAAGACGGCGAGAGGAGGTTATAGGGGGCCTCTGGTACATGGACAGCATTCAGTACTGGTACGGGTACTCCACCATCTTCCGTCTGTAGGACTAAGGTCACATCTCCGTATCCTACAAGAGGAACGGGGGCCTTGTCGCCTCCGATCCCCTTCACCCAACCGCTACGCTCACGGTAGTTCACGAAGTTGTCTGCACATCGGAACATGGAGCACGTGGCCGCTGTGTCGGCCACGTACACTGCCTGGCCTTGTTCCACAACCCCCACTAGACCTACTTCACCAACGGTACCACACCCGCCTGGGGGGACTGCCACGGCACAATACGCCTGGTCGTCCACGGAGTCCACGTCGCTCTCATGCTCCGCCACTTGCGCTAGGCCGGCCTCCTCCGTCGCGCACTTTTCTTTGGTGTGGCCCCACCCCTCGCAGCGCGCACACCACGGCACGAAGTCCTTCTCGTTGGTAGTGCAGCCGATCGCTTGATGTCCACGATGTCCACACCTGAAGCACCGGCCCAGGAACCTATAGTCCCCGCCACCGCCGCCATCGGCGCCTCCACTGCTGCTTCCCTTGCTCTCCTCGACTCCTCCGGATCCGCCTGAGCGGCCGCCGCGACCGCCGCCGCCGCGGCCAAGACTGCTGCTGCGGCCACGGCCACCGCCACGACCACGACCTTGCCCCTGACTCCCACTTGAGTACCGCTCCCTGCATCCCTCACCGTCGGCGAAATACGCTTGCTCTGCGCCCTTCGCCCCTTTTCCTTTCCCCTGCTCCAGCTTTTCCTTGATCGCCTTGTATTTGATAATTACTTCCTTTAGCACACCGGTCCGCGTCAACTCCTTCGCGTGTCGCAGGTTGTGCTTTGTCATGGCATACCCGTCCGAAAGGGCATCCAGGAAGAGGTGAAGGACGAACGTTTCGTTGACAGTTAGTCCTTTCTCGGTTAAGGACTTTGCGGTTTGGGGCAACTCACTTAGGGCGTTTTGGGGCTTTTCACCTCTAGAGATCTTGGTCGACGTCAGGGACTTGAGGTCCTCTGACGGCTGTACAGATGATTCAGGGTCGTGTATGGTCTTGAGCTCACGAAGAGCCCCCTGGGGCGTCTCTGCCCTCTTCATGATGTTCCGATATTTTTCTTTCAACGCGTGAGATAGGAAGTTCCACGCGTGGAATGCGAGCTCTACTTGCTCGTCATTTAGCCATTCGTTGAAATCTTTCCATTTCCCGCTGAACGGAGGAGAACTGTACCGCACACTTTGGTACCCTGTCGCTGGGGTCGTGGCTCCGTATCCAAAGCCAATAGCAGCACCACCATCTCCCATGGCACTACTTTAACCTTGGTTGTGAGCAGCGGCTACTCTCACCTCTTGGCGGACAAAGCCCCCTGCTTCGCCGCTGTGTCGCCCTGACGGGCCAGAATCCCGAACAGGTTCGCGCAGGTACCTCCCGTCCTGCGCATTCTCGGTCCACGGTGCCCCTCCTTCAACGTTCGTGGACTCCGCGGCGGCGCTCTCCCTAGCATCGCCGCGATCAGCGGCACCCTCCATGGTGCCAGCTGGCTCCTCCCTCTTACTTGCCTTCATGGTATCTTCCACTAGCGACATTAGCTGGCTCATCTGATCCGTCAGCGAGCTAACTTGCGTTCCCAGGGCCACGAACTCTTCTCTTGACCTCTTTCTGTCTTCCGCCGCAGAATCGCTGGAGGAGTCACCCCCATCATGCGACCTGACATTCCTGATGGACTCTTCTTCGAGGGACTGACAACAGTGTGTTCGTATATGTCCTTTACTTGGAAGGGGAAAACGTTTTATCTTTTGTATTAGACACGCAAGGGGAGGAGGGAGAAGTGAAGCCCTCTTTGGAGTTCGAGGGGTCCCCCTACATGCAACCATTTCAAGGTGTACATATGCCCCATCTGCGTGCCCTCTGTTGTTGCCGGTAAATCTAACCAGTCCGTATCCAAACACACGAACAGAATGCGGACCCGGGTGCGCATGGACGACAGAGAACTATCGGACTGGTTCTTCGTGACGCAGGGCGTGCGACAAGGATGTTGTTTGTTGTTGTTGTTGTTGTTTCTCACATTAGCTCTGGACTGTAGTCCACAAACAATTGGGAGCCCGTGGGCTCAAAACCCGGCACATACGACGCCGCGGGGAAACAAAACAATCATAGGGTACCAATCACTCGAAAAAAGAAAACAAAACGATAGAAAAGAACAGGTATCGCACCGACCGTTCGAGAAAAGAGCCCTCGGAAACCGATGGAAATAAAACAAAAACAAAAGTAAAGGAGGACGCTTCCCACACCCGCCCAAAGAAAAAATCAAAGGGTAACGTACCAGCACCAGGCACTACGCACCAGGGCATGGGAGTAACGGGGCAAACAGGACAAAGAGGCCGCAGATGGGCAGACAGCCAGATGTACAAAAAATAAAAGCAACAGCAAAAGCGAGGTCAAGGTGCCCAACAGAGCAGAGTAGGCAGGGAGGACATGAAAAAAAGAAACACAGCACAGAGGCCGAAGGCAAAAATACAAAGGACAACACAAAGGAGTATAGCATACAGCAGGGAGGGAAACAGGGCGCAACAACANCGCAGATGGGCAGACAGCCAGATGTACAAAAAATAAAAGCAACAGCAAAAGCGAGGTCAAGGTGCCCAACAGAGCAGAGTAGGCAGGGAGGACATGAAAAAAAGAAACACAGCACAGAGGCCGAAGGCAAAAATACAAAGGACAACACAAAGGAGTATAGCATACAGCAGGGAGGGAAACAGGGCGCAACAACATCAGCCGGGTACATAGTTCGCCACAAGTGCTGCCTCGGCCGCCCTACTCGCTTCTAGAGCATTGCCCGGTCGCCGTTTTTCCCCCCCCACCGCCGCTGAAGAGCCTGGTCCGGTGAGAACCCGGCGTGCTCCGTCCCGGCTTTGTAGGGATGCGAGGTCAATGGTCTAACGACTACGGCATGCACGACTATGAGTACACCCACCGCCGCTGCCCAACAAGTGGCCACGGTCCAGTTGCCGTAGAGATCATGAGGATGGTGAAGAAGC